ATACGCCAGCTGCCAGCTTTAACCACGTTATTGGATGCATTTCCCCGACTATTTCGTTGCTCTTCAGTATTCATGGTTGGATTAATACTGGGTTATCAGCAAGCAGACTTGAGCTAAGTAGTTTATTGCCTTTAAGGACTTGGAGGTAGTTTGAATTAGTCGTTGAGAATTTAATGTTGATATTAAACCTTACGAGATAGGCTTTCAACCGCCTCGAGCGTCGTTTTGGCAGCTGAGAGGAAGGGTGATTTACCACTCATCGCTGGGGTTAGAAGTATCGTTGAGCTTCAGTTCTAGGGCACTCGAAGTTAAACTAAGAGTAAAACAAGGGAACCTTTAAAGTCTACGATATATATGGTTGTGACAATCAGTAATGGCTGACGGGATCAGACTCATTTCCATGAACTTGGTCGTCGTTCAGGGAGCACAATTTAGAATACATATCAAGGCGAAACTACGCCAGAGACATTTCCATGAGACAAGAGAGGGTATAGTACACTAGAGTAGATGGAGTTTGAATGATAAATAAAACTGTGGCTGAACGACGTTATCATATATAAGGTATCTTAGACTTACCGTTACACTTTCTTGATGTACTATTTACCTACCTATTGTGTTATCACAGTAGTAGCTCTCAAGCTCAGAAAGCACAGGGATTGATTGCAAATATGTTTTTGTTTGGATACATTCTGGGTGAATATTCCAAGGAAATGATTCGCCCTGGGTATATCGTTTGCAAATGGCGACATGATCATTTATCAGCATTCAAGATACTGGTATCTAGTGTCAATCCATTTCCAAGAACCTCAGCGCTGCATACATTTTATAATCAACAATGGCTGGTGGTCCAGAACTTAGAGATGCTACCAAAGACACAGTAAGTAATTGAGTCTCCTGTTATAATCATCACATCCATATCCACTTGAGCCGTAAGTAGTATATAACACCAACTCTTCCCGGGAGACTACGCAGGAGTAGGTAAATGGTACAATGCAGTACTTGCGATGTTCAAATAGATATGACATAACCCAAAGCCGTGATGAACATAGATCCATGCCACACTCTTCAAAGCGTCCAACACAGCACAGGGACTGTAGCACCGTTATGGTCATATACTGTTTACGATCGGTAGTTAAGTCCAAATAGAATAAATTATGCAGGCGGGATCTTGTGCTTTTGTGATAGAAACATAGTATCAGCAAAAAGATGAAAATGACCCCCAGCTTCGTCATGGTGCCATAGTGACCTCCTGAAGTAGCAAGGCACATGAGAGATATAACTATTGCCGTTTAAACCAGCTATAAGACTTCAGAATAACACAATTTAGTTACTCACATAGTGTATACATGCTCCTGAGGAAGTGTAGACACCTATTAGCAATTCATTATCTGATACCCACCCTGCACCATATAACACAATAGTGATCTCTGAGTTCAGCACAGCTCAACAACTATATCACCCAAAATGTCCGCAAAAGTTTCTCAACCACTCTTAAGCTCACTCTGGGTATGTGAGGACAGCTGTATAATCGAGTTGTTGTTGGAATAAAGTTGCCGAGCCGTTGCTGCAAGATTTCACGGATCGGGAATCGCGTTGCTCAAGAGATGCAGGGGAGACCAGATGGCCGCTGTGTACGACGGAGAGATCTTACGCAGGGGCCGGGAATCTATGATGATAGATCTCGGGATGGCATTTCATGTGTTTCATAAAGTGGACGGAAGGATCTGGCTCGTAAAATCTTGATTTGGTGGCTGGTTTGTGTATCCGTGTTTTGTAAAGCTGGCAGATCTGATGGACTTGCACGACCAAGTTGCCAGGCTCCGGCTATGATAAAATTACTCCTGATTCAAAGTACTTTGTAGGGTAGACTTCCTACGGAGCCTGGCTCTAATTACAATCACGAGGTACAACGTTCGCTGTAGATATCAATGTTTGCCCAACAGAAAACCACCAACCCTAAACCATCGAGTTGTTCACACTCGAGACGTCTAAATCTCCTCCATATCTTCCAAGTCGTCAAGAGCAGGGAAATCGCCCACCTCAACCCGCTCGGGCCTCACAAAGACACCATGCTTAAGCTCAGAGGGCTCACCCCAGTATCGAGTACCAGCGATGCTACCGTCATTCTTGCCAACGGGCTCATCGAGCTTGACTCCCACCCATGACCCGAGACCGCCGGGGATCTCCTTGACCTCACCGACGTACTGGATGACACCGCGTCGAGTATCCTCACCGCCAACGCGACACCGTCGGCCGACAGCAATGCCCCGCGTGGCAACCTCGCGGTCAAGAGCCTGCAGCTTGGTCTCTTCGTGGCTGGGGGCATCTGGGTCGAAACGGCCTAACTTCTGAGCCTTCTTCCAGGCTAGGACCGAGTCCGTCTTTTTCTCGTACTCTTCCTCGGGCATGACATATTTGTCGACGCCCGCGGTGTCGTTCAAGTTGATCCGGGAGGCCGCAGGCCGTGTGTCAATTACCTACCAGGTTGGATCCCTGTCAGCCTTATCCAAAGTATTGGAGGGTAAAAAAAGTATATGGTGGCACCACTAAAATAGTGACGATCCTCTGGGCCCTGAACGCGCGCACATACGCAACAGTTCAACTCCCACCGCCTCTCCCGCTCGGCCCCCCCCTCGCCACAGTTCTCAAGTGCCAGCTCAGCACCGGTGAATAGCATGGACCTGGAACCTTGAATAATCGTCGACAGGAACGCCGCAGACAGAAGAGTGAAGGACAGCGAGAATATCTCGGCCAAGGCACATGACATGGGAAAGTAGCTGACAAATGAGAGGCCGTGCTATGATGCACTCTGACTTACATGAAGCTCTGCATACGGGGCCAGGGGAAAGTTGGACAAGTGGGTGTCGTCCTCGTTAGGCGCCTCAATAGCGATAGCCTCTGCGCCAGCTGTGGGCTTCAGGGAGAGCCGTTGGCAAGAGGGCGGAACACCAGTGACAGTCTCAAGCTTGCCCTTGAGTTGAGAGATGGACCATGACGGTGTGATGCGACGCTCTGACTGCGCGAATTCTGAGATAACAACGAGCGGAACGTCGGCCATGGCTGAAAGAGAGTCTGGATGGATGGATTGACCTAGGCGGGGAATATCTCGGTGTGTTTTTGGCTGAGACGCTTGTCTTTGCTTTGCTTTGCTTTGCTTTGCTTTGGAGGGGCGGTCAAAGAATGAGGTACTTGCGAGACGCCTGCGCCGCTCTTAGGATTAGGTAGAGCAAAGTGAGAACCGAATTTCAGGCCAAAGTGGTATTTCCAAGGAAGAAAAGAGCTGAGCTTTGCCTATGTTGGATGAGAAAACGATGACAGTGATCGAACTTGAGTGAGTGTGGTGGGGTTATGATTATGCAGTCCAGGGTTTGAGGAACACCAGCTAATGTGCTAAAGGGTAACTAGCATCAAGAAGGATGCAAAAGCATGGGCAGAAAAGAATTGGAAAAAAAGAAAAAAAGTATGCAAAAGCAAAAAGAAAAAAGGAACACTTGGAGCCAGAAGACAGCCTCTGCCGAAATCCTGGGCTTGCGCAATGCAGAAAGCAAAGCAAAAGCACCTAATATATCATATATCATCTACATTTCCCGCCTAGGGAGGTTAGGCTGCTGGGGGGGTTCAACTTTTGATATAGAGACGGGATTGGTCCGTTTAGATCTGAGGCGGCAACGACGTCGACTTCATCATCAACGTCAACCTACAGGCCGGGCCCAATATTACTGCAATTGTATGGATGTATGTATGTATGGATGTACTGTATGTACGTACAGTAGCTCATTAGTGCGAACATGATTACCTGCATGCATTATACCTAGTTCCCTACATGCCATATGGTTGGTTAGTCCTTGGCATGCCATGATAGGTCAGGCGTGGTTCTTGAGCTTTCAGCCAAAAGCAACTTTCTTCATCTTGAACAAGCATCCCTACCCAAGATGGAAATTGGAGGGATTCAGCACAGGCATACATTATCGAATCTGGTATGTAACTCATCAGCTGCCGTCAATATGAGGGAGGAAAAAGCAATTGATGTTCGTCTTGGCTTGAACATCTGCGGAATATCGCAATATGTTCCTAATTTGGAGCGACCTTCGTAATGCCGTGTCACGAATACCCCCAGTCAGTTCCCTTTCATCTCTCCACGCATGAAGCCCAAGCGAAACCTGCATGTGCATGTCTGTCTGAAGTCCACTCACAAGAGCACGGCAGCAGACTCTACGTTGCTAGATTACCTACCTCACGTAGATTGTCGACCGGCTGAATGGCGGGAAGGATCTGAGATGGATATTTGACTAGGCCTCAAAATATGATACCCTGCCATGATCTGATATACAGAGACCACTAGGAGGGTTCAGTCATACACCACAAGCTGCTCAAACCTCCGTGGGCAGCATTAGCTTATCTTAGCTAGGAATAACCAACTGGCCTGCTTCGAAAGTCTCGATCTCGTCAAAGCGCTCATCTGGCCGCCTATTACCACTCTGGTTGAATCTTGTAATCGACAACAAGCCACCTAATCCAGGCCGGTTCCTTGCATCCGCACTAACTCTTTGCGATGATTTCGGTGTTGTTACCGTCGACCGGACCGGCAGACTGGCCATGCTGGTCAGCCATTGATCCGGACGGCGTTTGTCGGCTCCGCGCGGTCCCGTCCGTCTGGAGGCACCCGAACAAAGCTTCATGCCGGCTTCGCGCACGGGAGGAGGTGTCGCGAGGAGGCTCTCCCGGACCCGGCGTCCAGCTCTTCGTGTTCGTGCGATAGTGGCATCTATATTCCAAGACCGCAAGGTGTTCCGCCACCGTCATGATGCACTCAGTCTGAGTAGATACTGCTATCCTGCATGCCCTCCATTATCCCTCGCGGAATAAATCGCCAACATGGATCATCCCCATATCGTTTCTGCAGGCGATGCCACCCGCTGCCTGCCATGACCGATGTGTATCAGATACTGGTGTTACATGAAAAAGAAAAGACCGGTGCGCGGCTCGCAGTCATCGGGAAATCATGGGTTGTCGGCAGTCTCGTTGATCCTGGCAGCCGCAACCCCTGGTCTACCCTCCAACCCGTTTGATATAGCTTCCCTGGCACATGATAGTACTTGAAGTCTAGATGCATTGATGACGACGGGAACCGTACTGCCATCGAGTGGTTGGTGATGGGACAACTCAGCACTCGCTGCGCCCCAACAACCCTGGGAATAATGCTCGTTCGCTGCAATCGAGGTCCGAGCGCGAAGCTCATGGCCATTTCGGCTTCCTGCAGTTTCTGCTGTTTAAGCATACATCTATCTGTAAGCCAGATAACATATACATACGCTTCGTCACTTACCAACCATGCCGTCTTGTATATCAGACCTTTCACTAGCAAGAACCACAGTATAGGGCTGACAGTGCCTCGTTGGAGCAAATGGCAACAAGCTTACCTGTACTGGGACGACTCACTCCACGGCATGCGCTAGGATCTGATTTGCGCCAGACTTCGTATGCAAGAAGCCGTGACAAACAGCTGGGGGTTTGGCGGGATGAAACGCTTGACCCTGACCTCTATTCCATGCCACTCATGACACGTCACATACCACCCACCAAGGGTTCGCAGCAAAGCCTCTCTGACCTACTGGTTAAATCGGGATTCTTGCTCCTGCCAGTAGGTATTTTGCAGCACTCTCGATTTCGTCACCCAGTTGCCAGTTTGCCCTATCCAAATCGGTCCGGGCATAGTTATGAGAGACCTCTGTTAGTGTCCCTCCAAGATGGTATGATACTATGAGTAGATGCAAGCTAGACAAGTAGCTAATCGCACTTGAAGGTGTTTAGGCGGTAAATCAATGTGCCCAAGGGCTGGTGAAGTGAGTTTTCCAAATCCACTCATGCGCATTCTGTTCAGGTCTCAGGCTTGATGTATTTTGAGCGGCGTTCTGACGTCAAGGACAGATCTTGCTCAAGGCTTAATCTCGAAACTTTGAGTATATCTATGGTACGTGATGGGCGGCTCACCGCTAAAAAACACAAGAATCATGTTAGTTGTTGGAGTGGGGTTTGATTTAGAAGGCATGGCTTCTAGAGGAACTGTTCACTGTATTTGGCCTGGCGTCTGGCTCTGTTTCCAATTCAAGATATGTCTTGAAACAACATTGCCTGGTACCTATTATAGTCATCAAACATGGCCAATCTTCTTGTTTGTCCACCGAGGAGTGTGCATATTGTAGCGAATTTCGCCTGTCTATTATGTCCATCATCAGCTAGACCGGGTATCCAATCATTGAATCTCCGCAAGCTCGATTTTGTCAGTCAAGCGAAGCAAATGACGCGCGCAGAGGACGTGGGTATTGTTCAACTTCTTCTCGTCGCATTCTTCCATAATCGTGTGCTTGATATGTCAGGCACAAACAGACAAACCTAGTTAGTTTATCCTTTTGCCTTCATCGATGGGTCTCAGACTTTAGCAATCTAGTGGGCAAAATAGACGAATCTACGATCCAGGATATCCCCGTTCGTGGATCTGTTTACCGACTCCGTTTCCGTGTCCAGTCCCCGCAGGAACACTAGCAGCGTGCTGTGAGAGAGACCCTTCGAGACATCCAGTCATTCCAGCTTGGCAGTAAGCTAGCCCACCAACGGGATGGTTAATGGCTGAAGGAACGACATACACATGCGCCGCAGCTCACTTGACATAGGGCTCGGCCTTGGTTCGCCGTAGGAGGAAGTGGGCTTCAGGGGCCTGTTCGAACGGCACCCGCAATGCCACATCTATCATTCTCCAAATGTGTATGGAAGAAATTGGGGAAACTAGCGCTGCTGGACCTCCACCAAATACCAATCTTTTCCTCTTTCCTTCCAAAGGCTCTTCACTCTGAAGGAAAAGTGCGGAACATCGAATGGATAGGAGGATAAGCAAAAATGATTAGAAAAGATTTGTTTTGTTCGGACATTGACAATAATGTGAAGTAGGCAGATCAGCTGCCCAAATGTGGCTCCATCATATACTTTGCCCTGAGGATTTGTCCCAATCAGACAATATCTTGGCTCGGTTGTGTTTCAGACACTGGCACTTCATGCCAGTCATCGTCATATCCAGTCGCTTGAGGGCAGAACACGAACCCAACTGCTTCGTTGTTCCTGATACTGAGAAATGGCTGGCATGTAACTATAGCATGCCCTCTCAAGATCCTGGACTGTAGATCTAGTTCTTGTCTCCACACCATCCCTGTAGCTTAAGAATATATAAAAGAGTTGGCAGCGCTGATTTGAGTCTAGAGGAACGACAGTTTAGCCCAATAGAGACAGCTTGATATTGTAATCGCCTGCAGATGGAAGTAAGAAAGGGAAAAATTCTTCATCGAGGTGGAGGCCTTGTGGCGGTCACAAGTTCACGACGTCCATCGAGGTGGAAACCCATCCTTGCTAGAAGTTATCTGGCTGCGGGAGGGACACAACGTGGCACTCTCAGAAGGGCTCGAAATCTAAGCCTCACTATAGGACGAGGACCTATGATGACCTGCAAAATCGCAACACTCAGCTCATCGGGCATAGCAGGAATGAATTTGGTCATTGGCAATGATGATGAGGACCATATGTATTCGACCTGAGTGGCCTGCGGGTCCAGCTCGATACTGCTGTTACATCATGTAGACTCACACTAACAACAACGGTTTTCGTGTAACGCCATCTCTAACATCGCCCAACTTCCCCACTTCAGATTGGTGACCCCAAGTGAAAATGTAGGCCAGTCTTCAACGGCGCGTTCTCATATTACTGGAGCTGATGTGGGTGCCATTGTGCTCGTGATTGATCAAGTGCCAACTAGGCATTTGAGTGTCCGGAGCTATGCAACTTCGGAAAGGATCGAATGCTCCAGGAATCTATCCTGCCTGCCATGCAAAGAAAAGTCGTTCGTCCATCGCTTATTAGGCCTTGTTGCTGGCATCCGATGCCCAAGTTGCCTGTTCAGCTTGTGCGCGTGCATGCATCCTCAGACTTCAACCCATCATCTGGTGCCTGGACACAACAACATGCATGAAGAACATCAAGCGGTCGCATGATGTGTGCCCAGCGACTCGTAAGTACTAAGGCGTAGCCCTTGAACCCAACGATGAATTGGTTCTTAGCTGCCCGGCATCGATATCAGTGTAAGTTGGCAACATGTATCAACCCCCAACAACGAGCCGGGTTGGTATGTATTTGGCCGTGTCGCACCTCTTTAGACAAGCCTCTTTTCTTGAACCTTCTTTACTGACCGCCAGTTCACCGTCATCATTCACCACTTCCCAGGATATTCCCGGCGGGCAGTTGTTAGCGGAAGCTACGTGGAGCAAACAATGACCCGTGAAGAAAGACGGAATGGAGCATCGTGGAAAAAAAAAACGAAGGTCTGTGGTTGACTCTGGGCAGGAAACCTTGTGGCTGGTAAAACAACGGTACAGACATCCAACAACCAGCCTCAAGTCTCCAGATACAACCTTGGAATGTGCTCCACCAATTGCATAGCCGAATCTTTCGGCTGGCCATATCAATAGCTCGGGCCGGGCCTCGATTTGTATATCGGTCTACTAGCAGCATTTGAACAAACGTCAGACAACCAGAGGAATCTTGGACAAAGAGCTCAGTCGTGCGAGATCAAATGCCCAGGTGGCGTGTGTGGACCAACGCTCATCCGTGGATGTATTGAAAGCGCTTGTGTCTGGTACATACGGGAGCAACGCACAGACAGTCGTTAGGCTCGTGCTTGAAGCTTGAGCTATTATCCAACTGAGGCAAAGCTTGAGTCGGTGATGAAAGAAGGTGTGGCCGAATTATGCTGGGCTGAGCTGCCAGTCATGACTTGGTTTTAGTTCGACTTGCAAGGGGTTTTGGCAGATGTCAAGTCACTCTGGAATCTGGGTCTGGTTCTCTTCTAACCGCAATAGTATTCGTGTCATCTCTTTGAGACCAGAAGAGGTTTGTGGATGATGCCCTAAAAGGATCACCACTGAAACATGCATTGGGCAAGTTTGGCCAGTTGTAAAATCAAGGCTTTTTTAAATGAAAGGTATGAAACGAAAGATGAAGTCCTCTTCCAATGTTGGATGGACGACTTCCATGTCGATATAAAGAGCCGCCGGCTAGTGCCTTCCCGTCCTGTAACAGGGAAGGTACAAATGCGGTCAGAAGAAATGGAAAGGACCAACATTGGAAACCTCAATGGTCAGAGGCCTGCCTACCTTAGGAAAGCAACAAAAGTAACACCGGGAGTAGCATCTAGTGCTAACTCAATATGGCAGTTAATATGTGATGTCTGCAATTCGTTGCTCATATTCCAATTAGTACATTAGGAGGTAGATACATATTCCAACAGTTGGAGTCCATCCGTTATGAAATTAGGTAGTACGGAAGTACAGGGAGCCGAGCGCAGCCGCAAGCAAACATGACGAGCTTCCATTGGCATCATCTCCACTACACTTTAATTAGCACAAGCGCAGACCTCTTCTCAAACAGTTCAGACTCGATCCTAGTATTCAGCTCCCCGCGGATGATCATACCCCATCGACCACTACGCAGTGCGCGCTGACGCTGAAGCTGACGCTGGATGGTTGGCTGTTAGCGCCTAGGCCTGCCTGCCTGAGTGTGCTGAGCTGCCAGGCAGGCTGTGATACATGGGTGAGGCTGGCATCTTGCGGTAAGTTTCTGGTACCGCAATGTCCAGCACCCATGGAGGTTCGTCGATTACTTATTAACGCCTACTTCGTCATTATCAATATTGTGAATTCATCAACTCTGATATGAGGTTTAATAGAGGTCATGTTGAAGCCGTCACACTTCAATAGGCAATTCGCCACTTAATTTTAATACCCAACCATAGGGAGTCCGCCGAAGAGACACACAACCATGCAGTCTTCGCAGACAAGCACAGAAAAGTCGAACCTCGTTCTATTCTCGGTGGTGCTTCGAGTATAGTTTGTTTAAGTCTGAGCACTCACGTACCAGTCTACCTATTGTAAGCTTCGAGTCAAGCATGGCCCAACCTCTACAGTGAACGTGGGCCAAGCCTAACCAAGCCTTACGGGGGCTACCCTGGCATGATGACTGTCACGGAATGCCGCGATGTGATTGACTGAGCCAACTGTCTCGAACTAGGCGGTTCCTGCGAACCCTTGACTGCCAGTGGGCATACCGGTTGAGGCGTCAATTCAATGGTCTCTGTGGTGTGTCTCGACTCACATGTCGCTACCATCTTGTTTGACTTTCGGGAGCCCGATATGCGAGAGAACGGGGTCTGGGGGTTTATCCCTCAACAACAGAACTCAAGACATCCATGCCCAAGATTCAAGTTCCAAGACTTGGGCCTCCCTTCACATGCGTGCTTACAGCATCAGAGACTTGGACATAAGACATACCCAAACGGGTGGCTTAAAACACAGAAGGCCTCATGTTCTTTAAGGGAACTAAATTTCTGTAGGCCGGCCAGTCTGGCGTATAGTTTTGAATCACTCTGACCGAGACGATGGATCTCTTGGCATCCGTAGTTCGTACCGATGACATTTTATGCAGAGCTTCGTGGCATTTCTTGACAATGGGTGCTAGACGTCTGGTGTTGGAAGTGTATGCATCTGGCACACCCCAATCAGAGAATCCTTCTTTTCGTTGGTTCTGCGGACATGGAAGACAACATTTTATATGAGACGTATATATGATTATTACCATGTTGTTACTCCGATTCTGTTTTCATTGTGGCCACGTGCTAGAGTATATCAGGCTGGTGGCCATCTGAGAATGAATGAAGGCAATGATAACAATGGTAGACTACATGGTATTGCTTTCCTTGAACCCTTTTTGGCCCTAGATTTATCAACTGCACCATCTCACGAAAACAATTGAACGGAGGAACTCGATCTTTGTAATTGGAGCCCTTCAGAGTCCAAGTTAAATATTCACTACCCTTGTCAACTCAAAGACGAACAAAGAAAACCGGACCCGGCAACTCCCCCCATGCGAAGATCGTAGCGACGTGGACCAGAGGGGAGTCCATGATGAGTTGGTGTAGAGCCAGGGGGCGTGCAGCCGACGCACCTAGCCCCGAAGCTGGAGACGAAGATTAGACGCCAACGCCCCTCTCAGCCAAGGCAAGGCAAGTCAATCATGACAAAACAGGACCAGCCAGACAAGGCCGCGGCTGTGCAAGGCGATGAGAGAGAGAGAGAGAGAGAGAGAGAGAGAGAGAGAGAGAGAGAGAGAGAGAGAGAGAGAGAGAGAGAGAGAGAGAGAGAGTAGAGTACGTAGTAGTACGTACGTACGTACGTACGTACGACGTACGTACGTACGTACGTACGTACGTACGTACGTACGTACGTACGTACGTACGTACGTACGT